TATTTACTAGAAATTTTGCTTGGAAGTTAACCATATGATCACAGATTCTCAGAGTCCCAGAAACAGAGAAGTTTTAAATTGGAAAAGACCTCAATGGTTATCTAGTCCTACCCATACATGAAAGGAATTCCAACCCTAACACTCCCAACACATGGTCAGCCAGAGTCTAACTGAAGACCTTTAGGGAAAGGGAACCCCAAACCTTTTGAGGCATCCCATTCCACTTTGGGATAAATGTAATTGTTAGAAGGATTTTTGCTTTTCATTAAGCCTAAATTCAGGAGGGGGAAAGAAAACACACTGGAGAATCATTGATTGGGGATGGCTAAAGAAAACGTAGTCTAGAAATATAATGGAACACTATTGTACCATAAGAAAAGATGGATATGACAAATTTAGAAAAATGTGGGAAGATTTGGGAAGCATGGGAGGATACAGAGGAAAAGTAAGCAGGACCAGGAGAATGATATACTCAGTGACTAAAACCCTATAAAAGAAAAGCACAATAAAACAGAGCCAAATATGGAATAATTATAATAACCAGTATTGGTCTCAGAGAAAGGAAACAAACCTCAGTGGAGAGATGGGGAGGGGCACATTGGTGTGGAATATTGTTAGATGGGTGGATTTGTTGGGTTGGTCTTCCCGGGTTTTTTTTTTTCCCTTTTGTTACAAGTGAAGACTCACAGATGGGGGCAGGAGGGGAGGTATATCCAGAAATGAAAAAGAAGAAAAATACAAGTGGGAAGGATATGTGGCCATCTGCCTATAATCTGTGAAATACACCTCTATCTCCTGAGTACAAAGTGGTGCTTCTCCCAAACTGGATTTCTCTGATGGAGCAGACACTCAGCCACGGGCTTCTTTTTATTAAATCTTATGTCAAAGTGCTCTCCCCTCTCCAGGGGCAGAGTATGGTGCAAGCAAAGAAATATTTGATATGCAGCCACGATGGCTGGGAAGAAAAGCAAGGAGGAAACAAATTTGTGAATCTTTAATAGTCATATATTTTGGAAAGCAGTTAAAAAAAAACACTTGAAAATACCATCTAAGGTCACAGTCACTTATACAAGTTTTAATCTTATATTGCTTGGCCATTTTTACATATAAATTATTGCTCACTAGCTTTCATAAATATGCAACACTACCATATGTACAGAGCCCACAAGCAGGGGGGAGGAAGGGGAACACTGTTGCTGAGGATTCTGGTAAATCAACAAACGGTTTCATCTCTACCAGCGCTTCGGAGAGTGGATAACTACTGACCGTAGTCCCTGAGAAATTCAGTAGACGTCCCTGATTGCGGGGTTTCTATCTTTTTTATTGTTAATGCAAGTCAACAGTGTTAATAGCAGTCCCAATTCAAGATAACTGCCAAGGCAAGATTTCTTGCCTTGGGTCATGGATTTCATCTTGGTACAACAACAGTGTAATCTCAATACAATAAATAGACTATGCAAATAAATATTGTTCTCTGCTAAAAAAAAAAACCAACCAAAGGTTAAGTATATACAGCTTGGTTTTGAACAGTAGTACATTTTTTTTCTTGCTTTTTGGCAATTTTTTAAACTTTTTTTTTGGCCACTGGTTTTAAGCACACTGCTCACTAGCTAAATGTGAGCTGAAATTCTAAGGACATGTTGTAGAAGCATCTAAAGTTGTTATAGCAAACCCCTCTCAGACAACGGCACAGGAACCTGGGTGTAATTACCCTTTCAATTTGAACACTTTGGCCAATTTCTCTTCTCTCCTCTTTTCACTCTCTCTTTCTCTCTCATGCATGTATGCGCGTATACACACGCACACACACACAATCTGTTGTGTGATTTCAAAAGATCAAGGTTAGCAATTTACAGCATCTGGTGACAATCCCCATGGTAGTTGATGGATGGACACATTTCCACATGGGGGCAGAAACTCTGAGCAATCCCAGCTCTCCTTCCATGCTCTACTCAGTTTTTAACCAGACTATCGGTGCAAGATGGACCATATTCTCCCTCTGGACCTGATTTGTGGCTTTTCCTGCTTAAGCTGTAATTTGGGAAATGGTGTCCCTTATTAACCCAGTTTTCAGGAAGAGATTCCAAATAGCCACTGTGTAATACTTAGCTTTGAGAATCTGTTCCTCAAAGTCACCCCCAGAAGGGTTTTGCGACTACAGTATAGCAAGTGCCAGTTCAAACTGGCTTTGAGTCTTCAGTCTGCCTGTGAAGAGAAGAAAGTGCTTGGACATTGTTGCTTATTCACAGGGGTCCACGCATGGTGTCCCGTGCTGGACTCACTCACGACACAGCCTGATTTAGTGGCATGCCAGGGAATCCAGGGACACACAAGGATTTATAGAAGTTCTACCACGACAGGGATCCCCCGGGAAAGGCCCAAGTTTGAGCCGGTAAAGATCCCTCGGGAACTTCTGAGTTAGGAATGGCTCTTACAAATGGAAGGGCCTCAGAGGCCATCTAGCTTAACACCTTCATTTTAGAAGTGAGGGAACCGAGACCCAGAGAGAGGAGGTGACTTGCTCAGAATGGGAGATTTGTTGAGTGGCTCAAATTATTAGAAAGTTCTGGGATGTTGAGCTGGACTCCACCATTTTCGTTCTTGGGGTGTAACTATTGTTCAAGAAGCTCGGTGAAACTATTGATCTTTTTTGTCTGTTAAGACCTTTTAGGTCAGAATTAAATATCAGAAAAAAAATTTGGAGGACAAAGAGGAGATATACCTTATCGTCTCTGTGCTGGGTCCCTCCAGTCCTAGGTCTTGAGAGAAGAAGGTAACGATAAAGTCAAGGGCATGACTGGGGATGGTTCTTCCCCCCAGCAAGATGCCTCTTCCCATTGACTCCATTACCTTCCCCCACCACACTACAATGACATGCACCTGTCAGTGTTCAGAAAAGGCATTTCCACAAGATCTCAACATGGCTTGAGCTTGGCATGGTGTCATATCTCAGGATCCCTAAGCACTCAGTGCAGTGGCTCACAGTTTTCCAGAAAAATTCTTCACTAAAGGGAGTATTATGGCTGAAACAGATCAAGTCTATTTATATTTTAATTGGCAAAATGTAGAGTTTTAGGGTTAAAAAAATCTGAGTTTCCCCCAGCTTGCTTTTCTTGAAACTTTCCAAATGCCAGTTGCAGTCATATTTGCCATTTTTGTCTTCCTGGTCACAGAAATCCAAACAAAATATGCCAGATGTTGCCTAAGGCCAGCCACATCACCTACAGGAAAACAGAGGAAGTGTTGACCGTCACCAACAAGACTGAGTTCTTCTTGATGTTGTGCTATGGAATGGCTCTCTACCACTGGTCTCCATTGTATTCAATAAGCGGCAACATGCTTATGAGCACATTTTCCAGACCCATTCAAGAGTGGGTCATTATTGTCTCCCACATATGACTATCAATGATTTTAGACAAAAATGAAATTTCACATACCAGGACAAGTCCATTCTCTTACAGGCCTACCAAAATTTTTTCCACATACTTCTTTGCATGGATCTCTCACATATTACATATAACACCTATCATATATGTTATATATGACACGTCTTATACAAGTCATTCCTATAGCCACAAAATATACATGTGTATACACACATGTATACATGTGTTTGTGTGCATATGTGTGTGTAGTCACAGACAGGTATGCATTTGCTGAACCCTAGGAAACAGGGCAGTAATAATGTCTAGAAATATTTCATCTATTTCTGACAATGAACATGAATATGATTTTAATGAATTGAAACCACAGTGTTGCTTAGGGGCACACAGATTGTGAGAAGCAATGTAGTTTGAAAACCTTAGCAAAGACTGATACATAAATAGCCAAAGAATCCATGATCTCAGCATGGGAACCTCTCAGTGTGGAAATGCCCTCCAAGGATACAAATTGCAATCCATCTCTATAGATAAGGCCCAGGGAATTACCTGAGGCATATAGAGGCTAAATGACTTGGCCAAGGTCACAAAATGGCAGGATTTGAACTCAGCTCATCCTGATACTAACCTAGCACTGTATCCACTGTCACATGGCATTTAAACAAACTGATTGATACCACACGGAGAAATTGAACTAATGATACATGAAACTGTGCTGCTTGCAAACCTGCCATAGAAATTACAGTAAGTGAAAATAAAACGAGTTGGAATGACTTGGAACTTTGATAAAATCAAGGTAAATGAGAGAGAGAGAGAGACAGAGAGAGAGAGAGAGAGAGAGAGAGAGAGAGAGAGAGAGAGAGAGA